TAAAAGATAATTTTTAAACATACATATATGTATATGTATACAATGTTATTGGCTAATAATATAATTTTAATAATTCGTTGAATATTATAAGATGTAATTATATTGTAAATAATTACCATTTAAAGGTATTAGTGACAGTGGATATGGTACATTACCAAGTAAGCTAGGTAGGCTTATCAATATGTATTATATGTATACAGTAGTAAGCCTCAGTATTAGAATCACAGAAATCCATAAGTATATGTGTATACACATGTATAATATTCAATTCCTAGATTATACACATAATTAGTGTTCTCTCATTTCAAATCATTTGTTGTATCATTTTATGTTGGCAAATAAAGTAAAAATGAAATTTATGATACATAAATCAACCTCATTTATTACTCAAACATGATCTTCATTAATATCATTACATTGAGCAAAGGGATGATTTGTACTATTAAAAATATTAATATGCCATCTTATTGGATGTATTAGATTAACATAATACATTCATGCTGTTAGCACATTTTTCACTTTTTGGTATATCATAGTATATTGTATAACATTGTACATTTACTCATAAGTTTGTTTAAGGAATGTTATATGTAAGCTAGAAAATGATGTTTGTTAAGGATTGCAATATTTCCAATGCATGAAAGATTTTACAGTATTCCATTGTAGTATACTCTGTGCAAATATGTTGATATTGAAATTTATTGTTACACTTGCTCTGTTGTTTTTAATAGTAGTTAAGTAGTAATCATTTAAAAACATAATTCCCAATATTCATAGTACAAATAAGATAGTCTGCACTTTAATGTAATGCATGCAAATTTTTAAAGAAAGTTTTGCATGATGTAGTAGGTATATACATTTTGTTTAATACGAAAATTTTTTTGCTTTTGCAATATATTAAATTCAATTAAGATTTGAAGCTGTATTGTATATAATTATATGTTATTGCAAATTCTGTCTTCAGAAATTAATGTTACTAACAGGTCACAGTTAGTGTTGCTAAAACAGATTTATATTTTAGAATGCAATATGGTGTAATTTATTCTTAGTATCTTTAATGTTGAATAGTTCATAGCTTGAAAATTTAAAGAGTTTGTGATTTCAAAAGATGGATATATAAATTTGAGAAATATATTTTTGTGAACCATTGTAAAGATATTGATGAATAGTAATTATGACTGAAAACAAAACTAAATATATAGAACCAGTGGATCAACAACTTCGACGAAGCAGTGTTCAAGTTCAATCTGCAACTTTACCTAAACTTCCATCAACAGAGTCCCTATCAACAAGTGTAAATTTTACAACTGCTGCACCTCCACTATCTCCAGGTATAAATATAAAGTTATATTAATATCATAATGGGCAATAATACCCAATTTGCCAGGTGCTTCTTAACTTTTATGTAAATTAATACTTTTCCTTACTTGTTAAAGTAGTTGATTAGCTATGAGGAACTGCATATTTTTATTTCCTGTTTGGCTTATATTTTCCTATTATATTAAGCATATTATTAAAATCTGTAATCTCCAAAATCTAATCTTTTGTATATTGTATAGTCTTCTTTGGTTGACAAATTATTAAATATGTGTACTAAATAGATCACTATGAATATAAGCTATAAGTAAATAATGTCTCTGTATTATATGTATAATAATTATATATATTATCTGTATAATTTATAAGCACTGCATATATTTTTTCTATTGTTACTTGATTTGTGACTAAGATAAATACAGCTGATATCTTGTATTGAATACAATTTTTCAACAGAGATAAAAAATAAGGAAATAGTAATTCTAATATAGAAAGATGCTAACTGCATAATGGCTTATGTTAATAAAGTTTATTATACAAAATAATTTTATTTGTATAAATTATA